ATTATATTTTGTGTTATTTAAAATCCACTTTAACAGAAAAAAGCCTTACCTTTCACACCACATCCATTTTTTAGATTATTATGAACAGCATCACAAGCACACCAACCAGATGAGTCATGCAAGCTGAAGCATTCAATCAGAGAACATCCATAAGCAGAAATGGCAGACTCTGAAGCAAAAGCCCCATTACCTTTTTCATTATACATCCTTTAAATTACGTTTTTGATCCATTATACGGGCTCCATAGGAGCATATTAATGTAACTGTACTGTACTGCGAGAATAATGCAGGAAGGATTCATTCATATGTGATTCCCAGTACTGACTGGAATATTTTTCAAGAGGCTCCTTTCACTGAATATTATTTGCAGCTAATTGAGTGTTTTTTTTCTTTCTTTTTTTCGTCACTTCTGGACTTATATCCCCAGACATTTAGAAACAGTAAGTGGGTTCCCTCACATGTGCAGTGTCTCTTGACTTTGTTCTCTGTCTCCTTATTGTACTCCCCTCAGGCTATAATTACCTGATCCACCAATGTACTTTCTTCTTTGTTCATCACTCTACTTACTTCACAGCAGTTTGTTTGGTTTAGCTTGAATTATTCATGTAAGCTTCACTTCTCAGTCACGTGAACTTTGACCTCTTCCTGTGTCGTTGTTTTCGTATGTTTTGTCTCAAAGTGCCCCAACTCCTTCACCTTTGCTTGAACTGCTCCTGAAAACGTTTCTGCCTGTCTTTGTTCACATGCTGGGTTTCACAATGATCAAAAAACACAGGATAGCACCTCTCATCCAAACCTGATTTGCTGACATTAAACTGAAAGTAGCTCATAGCAGTAGAGCTTGTTGGGCCCCGTGGTTTCCATTTTGACAGAATTACTAAAATTGGAACCCAATGATATGGAGTTGTGCTCAGTTTCTACATTGACATGATTGTGCCATGCTGCTCCTCAATCTGGTTTTGGCAGCATACACTTGATCTGTGAACACTTGCTACTCTGCTGTTTGGACACAATTCCTACATTTTATTTCAGTTGTTTTGTTCGTTAATGCTGAGAAGTTTATTTAGTCAACCTGAAATCAAAATGGACCTTTTTACCTTCTTAGTTCATGTCCTTGTTTATATTAAGCAGGATTCATCAAAATGTTTAAAACAAATTTTTAAGACAAAATTTATGTTTTTCTGTAGTCTTGCATTAAATATAATGACTTTTGCCTGCCTCAGAGTTTTTATTACAAGTACCAGTGGGTGAGGAAAATAATATTAACTAATAATATCATGTCATGTTGACATTAACAGTATTTATTTTCACTTTGGGAAATAGTACACACATAAAAACATGATTATAAAAACAAGACGAATGATTTACCATGTTGATCTTTGAAATGTTTAATTAATAGAAGGAAAAAACTTTAAGATCACAGAAAAATTAATTTATGGAATTACAGAAAAAATAAAAACGGAATCCACAGGGCCCCTAAGCTTGTCAAGGCATTTAAACTGTGTCTAATGGAGGCTCTTTGCTTTTTCTCTTTCTTCTTCTTTCTGCCTTTTTCACAGTATTCACCCAGCATGAGGACCACCTACCTATCTATGACTGATGCCCAGATCAGACACTTTGGAAGGGACTTCAATGTGTAAAGCGCTGGTCTCTTCTCCCCTGACGGAGCTTCAGTCACCACAGGACACTCTCTTTGTTGATATTTGAACCAGGACTGTTTTCTATATCTATGCGACTTCTTCAACTGTCTTGGTTGAGGAATTCAAGACTTGCAGCTAGTGTGAAGATTTTGCACTGAAAGAATTTCTCAGAGGCTGCACTCGCTCCAGACTGAGACAACGCAGCCTCTTCGTCCCGAAAGCTGAGGTCTACCAGGTTAATTGTACATCAACTACCATGTAAAGCCAAGCTTTTACATTCCCTCAGAATTTGATCAGTGCATAGAAGGCATTGACAGAAAATAGAGAAGGATCTTGCCATTGAGTTTACCACACAAAAGCCTTCAGCTCCACAGTGAGCATGTCAGTCATCCTTCCTCTGGTTTTGTTGTATAGAATGGACAGACCTCTGACATCAACTTTGAAAAAGAAATACCTGCACAGTTCCACCTTAAGGCACGTTGGCTGTGCTTTGCATTATACAGAAAGGTGTCACTGCTGGAGCTTCCAACCAATAAATATTTACCTCATCCATGTTTGCATCCTGGTTGTCCGACTTAGTTTATTCTAGCACTGACAGTTGTGTCAAAGGCCCGAACTGTTTGTTAATCACATACTGAAGTAGCTGCATTCATGGTGCCAATTTGAGTATGTGAAGAACACAGCATTTTATTCATTTTAAGCTCAGGTCTGAGAGAACTTCCCTGTTAATGCGATTGTCTGTTTGTTACCCCACGCAAGGTCAAGGCTGACGCAAGAGTATTTTACAACGTCAGACGTGTTAGTGTATGTGTGGTGGTGTTGTGCATAAGGAAAGGGGCGTATGTGTGTCTGTGTGTTAGCTTGTTGCTTTTTAAAGATCTGAAATCTTTTGAATAAGACGTGTCATTTTAGACAAAAAAACCCAGTGAATGACAAACTGTAAAACGAGTGAAATTGTACTTAAACTGTCAAGAATATATAGCCAGATTCCTAGCACTGTTCCTTCTTCATGTCTTTATAAAATGCATTACAAGATTCTCAGAAGTGCTGTTTTTTATTGTTTATGTTTTGGACCAATTTGGCATATGTAAAACTTTATTAAATAAATAATTGGTCTGTTTTATTGTTGCTCATTGTTTTTATTACCAACATTTACAGAGCTCATTTTAATGGAAAAACATAGTACATTTTAATCAACCTGACAGCTTGACTTATAACAGTTTTGAGTACATTTAGTCTGAGAGTGGACAATATAATGAAATGTGTCCCATTGTTCTGGATAAATACTTGTCTGAGAATACAGTCCATATGCAAAAGTTTCAAGGTCAAATGCCATGTTTTGTGGATTTCCTAAGTGAAAATAAATTCACGTTATATCTTTTATAGGGAACAAATGTAAATACCTTTTTGCTAATTTCAGTGCAGTTTCTGTCTATTTGCTGAGTTTAACATATTGGGGGGAAATAAAATATAAAATATGCTTGTACATGTCACTAAGCCAATAAACAGCAGTCAATGATTAAATGGGCAAAAGTGTGTTCTCTACAGAGAATGTGTTCACTTATTTTCACTTAGAAAATCAACAATACATAATTTGACCAGGGGTGCCCAGATTTTTGCATACAGCTGTTTTACAGAATGTGCTTAAAGAACATAGGACAGCTGCATGTCTCATTATAAAGAGAGCAGAATTTGGCCTGGTTAAGGCGTTTAATAGTACACTTTAAATGTGCCACTACTGTTTTTTTTTTTTCTATTCTAAATTATCAAGACTTAGAAAAAATAAATATTTTGAAAAGCTTGAAAAGTTTTTTATGGATTCTGAGAGCCGACAGGAGGCATTTCCATGGCCAAGCAAATGTAAGCAAACTACTGTTGATATCAAAAGCTTTACAGTTACTTATTTTCTTAATTCAGAGAGCATTCTACTTGTATTTAATCAGGCCATTTTCAGTTTATTACAATAGCTATAGCCAATTACTATACACTTCTGGTTAGGGATATTATCATGGCTTCTTTACAGCAAATGTTGAACACAGGCACTTATTTCTGTTTTTATACACGGTTAGTGGTATTTACACAGTACAGTGTATATTATAGCATGTTTTCACAGCTTACTACCATGCACTGTATAATGACATGCTATTACTTTGAAAATACATATTTCAAAATAAAAGTTTATCATTTTGTCGAAAATGAAATACGACAAAGGATGCAATAATTTAGAATATGTACTTCTGAACATGTATAACATAAGTACGAAATAAAACTGAGCAAATAATGTGAGGGCCCTAGCTTTTCTGTGGACGTAATATGTGGCTGTGAAAATTAGAAACTGCACCCCCTAAGTAGGGTTGAAATGGTCTCTGTGGGGCGGCAGGGGGCGTATAAGCGATTAGTAATTACACTTCTAAAGAAACTACACTCAGTATCGCCTCACAGCATTTAATCCACTGCAGAATTGCAATAAATGGTAACATGTTCGAATCAGCATGTGGGACTGTTTGAAATTATTCTTGTTTAGAAAGACAATACAAAAGCTACAAATGTGAGTGATTCATCGCTGCCAAAGACTTTTATTGCTGTTGTGTCAGATCGTTCTTACAGCCTTCACTTGAGTGGTTAATGTGTCTGAAGCGAAGATTGTGGAACATGATATCAAACAAGATAATTGCTGGAGCTTTTCTGTACTGTTACCAAGAAATTGTTCTTAATAATGAAAGAATTATGCTTTAAATTTGGATTGTGAAAAGGTGCCTATTAAAGGGCCCATATCATGGAAAAACCAATTTTCCCCGCTTTTATTTATTTATTTATTTATTTTTAAAAGGGTTCACTCTGCAGTCCACACAGTCCAGATATAGAAAATAAGCTGCAAACAGCCCGCTTGAAATTCATTTGTTTTGTAATGTCACAAAAGCCAAAGCTTTCATATATCCAGCTCTTAATTAAACTGAGGTTTCAGCCCTGACTGCTTTTCGAATGAACCACGATACAGACGTTAGAGAGGTTGGAAAAGGTTACGTAAAAACAAATAATTACTTTTTTTCTTAAATAAAACCACGTGAATGTTATAATATAATTTGACCTCTGGGAAAAATAAAATAGTAGCCAGTTAAAATGTAGGACATTGCATATTTAACAGAAACCGAATCATAGGAGACTTTTATTTTAAAGGTTTTTTGTCCATTGCTCCTAGCAACGGTGGCTTTAACGGCTCTGATCTGAGATCAGCTCTAAAGGTGAGTGTTAGCGGGCCCTCTGATGCTGTAAGTATTCTGGGCAGCGGAAACTGATCCTGGATCAGAGTAAACTCGGCACATTCAGCCTGAAAACTGCAGTTTCACGCGCCTCCCTGTTTGTTGTGGTTAATACGCCTGGCTTGCTAGCTACTGAAAGTAGCGAAACAGAGCATCACTCTGACTCAGACCGGTGTCAAAAACATACGGCATATTTTTGGAATGCATTCCAGTAAGAATAAGTAATTGATATTTCATAAAAGGAAGCGACCGTAGTAGAGTGGCGGGGATGTTGCTTCGCAATGGGAAACGTTTTCACCAGAAAGGGACGCCCGAGTCGAGTCACCGAGCAAGACAGGGCCATTTTGGTAACTAATAACCGATAACGTTAGCTGTGATTGTGTGTAACTCTGTGATGAGAGAGAACGTTTGTCTGTTTGCTTAGTTTTGCAGTTAATGTCGCTATTAGACTAACATGTATACATTTATAAAATATGGATAAGATGATTAGCATTGAGCTGCAGACGCCAGGATTAGTCAGCTGTCCTAGTTCATGTAAGCACTGTGTTTGAGAGGTTTTGACAGTTAGAGGTGGACGATATGGCGAAAATATAACTTATGTATCACGATTTTTAGCTTTTCTAAGGTTTGGTGAGATGGAAGAGACAAAAAAGGCACAAGTAGTGCCAAACATAAATACTATAAACATGCACGAAAACAATGATTTTTATTCAACGTTTCATATTCTACATTGCACTAAATCTAATTAAAAAGGAATAAGTGCCTCATGTTTTCTTTGTAAAGAAACATAATCTACAGTTTTTCAGTGCTGTTTAAGTGCTGGCAATATTTATGATTAGAGGTGGGTGATATGGTAAAATGTAGGCTAATTTCATGATACTTCAGGACATTTTTTACAGTACAAGATGTGTCACGATATTTATTTTTTCTGACGTCCAGTAAGTTAGAGCAGACAAAGTAGTGCCATATTTTAAAAATACAGTGAAATGCTATGAATCCAGTTAGTTGTATTCAGCATTTCACATGTTGTGCTGCACTAAATCCAGTTGAATCAGACAAATTATGCTCTCTTTTTCATCAAACGTGCAGTTGGGAAGTGACTTTTAGGTACTTGCGATGTCTATGATATGCTCAGAAAAGCATTTTGTGATGAAAATATTGTGATGTAATTTATCACGATAACCATAGCTATTGTCATATTGCCCAGCTCTATCAGAAACATCATAATAACGATACATATCATCATATTGCTCACCACTAGTTGATAGTTAAACACCCACTGGCCGCTTTATTAGAAACACCTACCTTTTAGGTCCTTGTTGCTGGTGTTAAATTAGAGACTGTAGCCATGTACAATGTCATTCTGTTAGTTTTTGACCACTGGTCTTGGATGGATATTTTTGGGATCGTGGATCACTCTCAACCTGCAGTGAACCTGAAAAACCTATAAAAACTGCTGCTGTGCCTCATACACTCGTATCATGCCATGTTAAAGTCACTGCTACGTTGAGAATGGTTCACCAGCCAAATAATGTCTGATCATCAGCAGTCCTGTAATCAGAAACTGACCAGTGATGCCTATAATGGAGGTGAAGGATGACAGACAAATTGTGCATGACAAAAATGGACTGTAGTCTGTAATTTTATACCTATAAAGTAGCCATATAAGGTAGGTGGACCTCATTCAGTAGCCACTGGTAGTTTCCTAGCTAATTCCCTTTCAGTCTCCCAGTTTACACTGTTCACTGGCTGTTGAAAGATTTTAGGTTGAATCTCTGTGTAGATGGGGCATTGATTTGTTTCTGTTTGCATCATATAGGTGTGCCTTGTTGTTTGTTCATTCTCTCTGCTCTAGCTTGCCCTTGCTTTGTTTCCATATGTTTGTTCAGCAACTGAAACAGCAGCGAGATAAGCTGAGGCAGTACCAGAAAAAAGTCACGTTGCAGCTAGAGAAAGAGAGGCTTCTGGCCAAACAGCTCCTAAAGGATGGGAAGAAGGAGTAAGACTGTAACTTGATTTCTCTCGCACATTGTGTTAGATGATAACCTATTCATTTATTTCATGCTTTTATTATATCCCCCAGATGTATCTCAGTACCTGGGCTTTGAAAATACACATTAAAGAGACTAATTGCTCCTCAAAGCCCACATACTGAATAATGTATCACATAAATCATAGCATGGATGAAATGCTGTCTGCAAGCTGCTCGGGGAAAGTCGATTGTTAAGATGAAGTGATAGCAGATTCCTGTGCTCTCATTGCAGAAGAGCTCTTCTACTGCTCAAAAAGAAGCGCTACCAGGATCAGCTCCTGGAGAAGACTGAGACCCAGATAAGCAACATAGAGCGCATGGTGAGAGTCTTCTGCTCTTCAGACACTGCACTGATCCAAGTGAATGACATACTGCAGAAGGCTCCATCTGTTGGACATGTCCTACTTACTTTTCCACTTTGTGTTGTAGCAGAACACATTAGTACATAGAACACTTGTTGCAATCAGTACATAAAAGTGTGTGAATTTACTTTTTTCAGGTTCAAGACCTTGAATTTGCTCAGATTGAAATAACGGTCCTGGAAGGTCTCAAGGTTGGCAATGACTGCTTGAAGAAAATGCACGAGGTAAGATCAGCAATGAGGATTTTTAAGGGTCCAAGCACCAAAGGTGCTGGGAACCAATTGTTTTGGATAGAATTTGTCTTATTCGTTGTTATTATTAGTATTTTATGAGTGTCTGTAACATCTACACCTAATATAAAAACATACATTTACAATTTTTGTTCTTTTAGTTTTTAAATGTAAGAATTACAAATACAAAACATCAAATTTAGTGAATAGGCCAAAATGATTTGCGTTCTTATAAGGCTTGATTCTTGATTCTTGAACAATACTTTTTTCAATACGTGATTTCATGACTTTAGAGGTCTATTTAAATCATCCCATATTAAAAACTCCAGGTCTAAGCAGATTTCTCTATGGGCAGAAAAGGATGCTACATAGTTGCTATCCCATCCTGTAGTAAACAAAATTGTTTTAAACCTGATATGTTTTTGCCATATGTACATTTTTTCCATGAAAGATCACTGGATCCTCTGAATTATGAAGTTGTTAAGGAGTTAAAATATAACTATTGGGACATGCACACTAATACTGCTGACATCATACCTCACCAAAACCCCACACAAAAAAGAAGGCTTTGTCAAAGGTGGTGGTTAAGTTGCTTTGTCAGTAGTAGTTTACAGTGTGAGTGGCTAATGTTGTTTCATAATAGTGTTGCAGTTTCATAGTAAATCAGTGTTAACTTGCTTGTGGCATGGATGTAGCAGTATTTATATTTCGACTGCTGAGCATTTCAGAGGATCCATTTGCCATTTGTTATTCCCATGGAGGAAAAACTGCTTTGACAGAGTACCTTATGTGGCCATAATTCACAGCGTTTAGATGTCTGAAACAGACTGAAAGTGGATGTGGCCTAAACCAGAAATGAGTGTGATGTGCTGGAAGTTGATGGATTCACTTATTATACAGCGCCAACATTAATAACATTGGTACAGTACCAAGTACCAATCTTGGTTTTGGAACAAACATTCTTTTTGGGTTATGGATGCTGATTAGACTGACTGCTTAGTTACTCAGTGACATGGAATTTTTTGATACTCTGTAGTATTGAAATATTGAAGAATTTTCATGCTCAGCCCTACTTTCTTATACTTCCTTAGTTCACTCTACTTAGAAAGGTTTTGGGACGTCTGTGTAGGGGTCATTGTTTACAGCTTAAACGATTACAGATTAAGACTTGCTTAGAAAAGTACAGCTGATACAGCCTATTCATTCATAAATAGCCACCATTCCTCAAATAGCCTCTGACATCCTTGAACTGACTGAACGATGAAGACTTGTTCCTCTATTTTATTTGAATTCAGTTCAGCAGAATGTCCTGATTTTAATTGGTATTTTGTCCCTTTAGGTCCTCTCCATTGAGGAAGTGGAAAGAATAATGGAAGAGACACATGAGGCCATAGAATATCAGAAGGTTTGTGTCTTTATTTCTGACAACACAAACAGCTACTGTTAATACTGTCTCACAGTACATGCAAAATGCGTTTCTAATAATGTTCACTTTCTGCTGCAGTTTTTTTTCCTGCAATCTATCCTTTCTTACTGGCCCAGCTAAGCCATTGACCGTTGTTAATTGTACTCTCACAGCAAATTGATGAGATCCTTGTAGGCTCCCTGACCCAGGAGGATGAGGAGGCTGTGCTCGCAGAGCTGGAAGCCATCACTCAGGTTGGACTATAATTGAATTGTATTGCTAATGGTAATTTGACTCAGATGGATGGTCAGTGATGTGATAGCATGTCTACAGGTGAAGAGTTTTCAGTAACATGGGTGACTTAATGCTCCAAAAAAACAGTCAATATAACGGATAACCCATGGGAACCTGAATGTTCTTCAGTTTTTTTTTGGAATAACAGTGTTTAACGCAGTATGTTAACAATGTTAAAGTTTCAAAGCAGACCATTTACGTACCAGCCCATTTGGTCCATATATTGAAACTAAGATGCAGAAATTACATATTCGGAATTCATTGTCATTGTAATGTCACTAAAACCAAGATATTTACAAAGGTCCATGCTTTGTTTATTTGATTTCCAGTCAAAATGGCATTAAGTACAAGTTATTCAATTTCACTGTCTGAAAAGAGACAGAAAACATATATTGAATAGATTTCAGATCAATATTTTGTGTGTTCACTGATTGCCTTTATTACAGCTTCTGTATTTTCAGTAGACTTACTTTTATTTTTTTTCAAAGAAATCTGCAGGGATGTTTTTCCACACCTACAAAGTTAAGTCTTAGAAGTTGGTTACATTTTCTGCTTCTCACAATCCAAACAAATCCCAATTTTAAATTTAGACCCATCAGTCCATAAAACGTTACTCCATGTCTCAGATGTCCAGTTTCAGTAATCTGCTGCAGATTTTCTTCTTTTTCATCTATTTACTTTTCTTAGTAACAGTTTTTTGACAGCTACACATCCTTTCAGACTCATAGAGTTGAGTTATCTTCTCACAGTGGATGGACAGAAACACCTGTGGATTTTTTCAGAATTAAAGCAAGAGGGGAGCTTGATTTTCTCCTCTCTTTCAAAGATGAAAGCTTCAATTACTGGTTATTTGTTGGTGACAGTTTTGGAGGTCTACCGGGTCTTGTATCGTTGTTAGGAGTCCCATTTTTTTCTATAACTTTTAATCATTTTTAATCTCCAGTTTTAAAAACTTTTTTTTCCCACTTATTTTCTTTTGACTTTCCCCCGTCTTATAATTGTGGATTACTTTAATCTTCTCAGTAATGCCTCCTGAAAATGAATAACTTGTACTTAATAGCCATAATTAAATAAATTAAGGCCCTTTTAACCAGTGTGATGAATGTTAGGCTATATTGTCTGTCCTCATCTGAAAGTTAATCTTTTCTTCATAACATGTTGAATGAGGTCATGTTTAAATTACATTTAAAGAATTTTAAATTGCTAAAAAATTGAATTTGGACATCAGAAATGCAGATCAAGCTAAAACAATTTGAATATTTTTTGTTTTTTTGTTTAATTCAGTTAGCGTGCTCAAATGATTACACTTTTTTTTTTTATTTGTCCCAGAGTTTTGTGTTGGTATTGAGCGATATGATACTATATTTTGTATTAACATCAAAATTCTAGTATTATGAAATATATCCGGCACAGAGCTGCTTTGCTGTCAGTGGCAGCAGTACTTCTGTAGCAGAAATGGATCTGTCTTTGACCCTTGTCTTCTTTGCAGGATGAAGATGTTTCACTTCCGGAGGTGCCCACTGAGCCCCTGCCCGCAGTGCCCAGCGCAGAGAAGGGTGGGAGTCTGTTACAGTCAAAGGCCCTAGCAGTCACTACCTGAAAATGCCATTATGGGGTGGTTCCTGTTTCCTGTTTCTCACTTGTCTTTGTGATGTTTTGTCTTTCAGAGAAAAAACCTGCAGAAATCAAGCAGGATGGAGAGATGCTGGCAGCATAGTGACACCCTGTTGTCTTGTGATATGGTTTGATTACAACCTCACACGTCACTTCTCTTTGAACTAAGGAGACAGCATTAATAGAACATGAGTACTCTGTCCTTTTCTGTCAGTTATTTCCATGAACCTTCATGTACCTTTGACTCAGTGTGTGCATCTAGTTTACTTTGATGAAACAACTAAGGTTGGGCTGTAATTGATTCAGTGGTTTCTGAACATTACTAAGTGCTGACTTTGAAAACGTCATTGTCAGATTTGAATCAGTGTTTATTTGACTCCCATTTGGCAGCAGCTTAAGTTGATTTTAGTAGGGAATAATTTGATCATCACCCACACCTATTGTGAAAGGTTTTTGGTGATCAATGGGAAGCATAAAATCACTACATGATATTAAACACCTTTTGTTTGGAGTTGTGACCTTTGAAACTTTTGGTTGATGGTATTAAAGTGTATTATTATTAATTTTTTAGCATAATATTTATTTTAAAGCAAATGTCACCCGGCTATCTGGGAAACTGACCTTTTTGTCTTTAAGATGCATATCAGTATTCATGACAGATGTAGTTGGCCTTTTCTGTTCAGTATTGTGCTGTAATAGCATGACCACCAGGGGGATCTTTGTCAACATTAGTGCAGTGGATGACTGAGTAGTTAGTCCTTGGTTTTGACTGACGCCTCTGATGAAATCTCAGCTTGCAGATGGAGTGTAAATATTCCTGAAATCCCACTGAAATGTCTTAATCCAGGGGACAACTACAATGTTTCACATCCTACACCATTCTCAGTATGTACTGTACAGATGATTTATTTATAAATGACCCCATTCTGATTATCACTTGTGACAGGTTCTGGTAAAAGGCTTTGCCATACTGTATAGACACTTTGCTATGTCTTGTAATGCTCAGCTGTGAAAATAGGGAAATAAAGCATCAGATTTTGTAACTGTGTTTCTTTGGTTGGATGATCAGAACACAGACTTCCTATTCCAGCTATTTAATTGTGCACCAACTCAGGCTTTATGGCAAAGGTTAGTATGCAGCATTACGTTCTTCTAACAACAGCTTACTAAAGACTCACTCATTCTTGGCCATCTTACATTGTTCTCCCACACACAAGCTTCTGAGTTTGCCAAGTGAACACTTTTAATTATTACTCTTTCTCTACAACACTATTAGACCTCAAAACTGTGTTAGTTGCTGAAAATGTATAAATAAAAGACCCAAAAGTACATTTCCTTACTCTGATCAAAATGTTAGTATTGCTAAATCTATTATAAACATGGCTAGTCTTTTCTTACAGTGGTGCTTCAGTAGTCTCTAAAGTGAGGTTTCTTTGTTTAAGGTCTAGGAAACCTACTTGTGATGATGTAACGAAGTAAATTTCGAAAGGCTACAAGTGCTTGGTGCTAAGTAGCTAATTATTTAACTGAATTATTCCTTTAACAAAGAAAAAGTTTGTTGACCAGTTGAGGTTAAGTGCTATATCACTTATTCCGCAGGTGTTTTTATTAGCCTCTGGTTAAGTGGCTAGCAGTCAGGATTTGTTGTGCTGTAGGGATTCCCAATGTGATACATTTTCCTAATGCATGCTGGGTATTGTAGTGAGAGAACGTTGATGAAGGAAAACAATACAGAATCACAAAAGAGGTGCAGGGCTGTGCTACAGAATACTAACTACATAACAAATAGCATTAAATGCTAATTTTAGACCGGCGTATCCCATTAAGCTAAAGTTATTTGAACTGAACTCTATGGAGCATGTAATATTTTAATGTCTAAAGAATTGTTGCTTAACATTACAGTGCAGTTTTTTACTTGTAGCAGGAGTTAATAGTCAGATTTGAATCGTTTATTTGACTCACATTTGACAGCAGCCTCTGGGTTTTGTTACCAGAATCATTTGAGTATGGAAATGTTCACCACCAGCTCCCTCTGTGAAGAAAAATGCAAAATATAACATCATTATTTTATTTGAAGCAGTGGCAGAAAGAGCATTTAGAAACATTTTATTCTTCCTTTGCATTCGACATGTTCGTTACTCTGCAAACCATTCATACTATTGCTTTAACATAATATTGCCATGGTTACTCCGACTTGGGAGGCGGGGGAACGCGAACAGGTACGCGAGGCCCCGCCCCGTGGGAGGCGCCAAGAGAAGAGGGGCGGGGATTGGGCAAATTGAGAGAGCTGTCTGCTTCAATTACTGCCGCACGGTGGACGCCTATGCACTTCTGCTGTGAGACACCAGCAGCGAGCAGAGAGTGCAGTCGAGAGCAGTCTCTTCACACGCAGCTCAGCCTTGTGACATCCTCCGCTCCGTCTGGGAGACGAAAAACTACTCCTTTCGGATAAGCCGTCTTCTCATCAGGCGTGTTTATGGTTTGGACTGAAGATCTCGCCATGTCTCGCACCGACGAGGTCCATCGCATTACGGAGAATGTGTACAAGGTAAAGTAGTTTGATGGCAACTTCTCGCTAATGGTTGACGGCAAGTCAACGGGGTTTGGGGCTCTGTCGAGGTTTTGTAAGCTGAGGAAATGTGCTGGAGTGCGTTGATACAGGTCGCTGCTAAGTGAACATCTAGTTCTTCAGTCGATATGCTAATTGGACTGTAGAGGAGAATTCATTCACACGAAGCTAAAGTTAGCTTCTTATTCGAATATTCCGGTCCACCTTAAATGGTGCAGTATTCTGGCGCCTGAGACGCCCGAGTTTAACTGTTGCGCCATTTAAGGTGGTATGGAAAATTCGAATAAGAAACGAGCGAACACGAAGCTAACTTAAGTCTCGTGTAATACACGAATATACATAGTGTTTGTCAGTTGGCAAACTTGATAGTAACTTAAGTGATTTTACAGTGTTGGTGACAGACGCGTTTTATACTAGCTTGTCTGAGGTATTTAAAGGGACTGTCTTTTCGTCTCTCTCTCTCTCTCTCTCTGTGTCTCTCTCTCTCTTTCTCTCTCTCTCTCTCTCTCTCTCTCTCTCTCTCTCTCGAAAATATGACAGTCAGTTTTCATGATTGCACTCGATCTTGGAGATTTGGCTTTTGCTCAAGCACTGAACACTGCAGGCAGCTCATTCCTCTGTTGGGGCTTGCTGGGCTGCAACAGGTTCTGTCAACTCTGCCCTCAGGCGATTCTCTACACAAAAGTCCACCCAACTACTCCTCCTTACTTTCCCTACTGTATTTATACCACATAACCCATCTAAAAAAGCCTAAACTCGCCTCCCCCGTTGGATTAACGTCCCCTCCTGTGGTCCATAAGCCTGTTAAATAGGCCACCTGAAGTCTTACACCTAAAACGAGGACAAAGAAACTATTCTGAGTGATCAAGGCCAGGCGGATGTGTCCTGTATCAGGGTGTTGCCTTTTTGCGTTAGAGAGCTTGTGAAACCCTATGTAATGGCTCACTGCTTCCTCACTGTACTCATACCTGGCCTTTCCAGCTTCAGGCTGGATTTTGGCACTGATCTGTGTGGAGACTTGATGATCATTCAGGCTGTGGCATGATATGGCGCAGTTGCTTTTTATTTTAGGTAGACAGTGCTGGTTAGTGCCGGGCTGACTCTGCATAGTTACTGAAGGAATAAAGCAGAATTTAACCAGCCAAGCACTTTAAAGGGCCTGTATAATGGAAAATCATACTTTGATTACTTTTTTGTATAATATGAGTTCAATGAGATGTACACATTTATTAAAGCTTCCAAAGGTACTGCTCATGGTCCATATATGGAAATCTTTCTGCAAAAACAGAGTGGACTGTTTTTGTGAGGTCATAAAAACTCATTCAGTTGCTTGTATCTGCCTATTCAGCCTGTAGTTGAGCTCCACCCATTCATGTTGAAGTTCTATAGAGTGTTTCACCTCTGAATGAGGCACAATACAGGGCAGCCAGTCAGAGCAGAGATCATTTACATATATGCTTCTTAAAGGTACAATAACAAATATGCCCTATTTAATTTGAAGGCATGAAGAGAAGTTGGAAAATGATGATGATAAAAAATCAGTTATGACTGTTTTTGGTACATACACTCCACACAAATGTCATGAGTGGATCTCAGGTGGGGGAAAAAAGTAAAATGCAAGAAAACTGTAAGTCTTGTGGGGCCAAATGTGGTCTTGTAATGAGAATACATGTCCAGGGCACCGTGTGTTAGTTTTGGTGCTGGTTTGGGACGAAATCTGTCGCTAAAACCTGCCTACAGATTCGTCCAGAGTACAGTTGTTTTGCTCCAAAGCAGATCCGGTAGCTCGTCTTTTGTTGTACATAGTTGCCAATTCCACATACAGCCACTGGCAGCATCATTAACTTTTATTCCTAGCTTATCATTAGCCTAAACCTAAAATATAGTCTGGTTTAACAGAACTGTTTATCCCTGGCAACAGGTGTTTATTTCTACTGCATCTAATGTGTTTCCTACATGCATGATGCACATCTACATGCTTAATTGGAGTTTTTGGGGGGATTTCTCAGCTACGCTAAACGTACATTACAACCATGGATTAATGGCAGGCTTGTTGTTTGTTGGACATGTTGACCTCTTCACACCCTACTTTGACCTCCGCCTTCACGAGTCATTTGGATTGGTTTCCAAAGTGTCACAATAAGTTTGAAATAAGTCTTCTTGTTATGAGATCACGTCTGATCCTGTGAGATTAGAAAAAGGTAGGATTTGGGCCTTTTTAAAGAACCTGGCACTGTTGAATGAAGCAGCTCTTCTAGAGCCTGTGACCTTTCCATGTGACCTGTTCAAAGTTCTGACCGTTTAGAGAATCTGCTCAATTGGGTGAAATGATGGGCTGTCAGATAGTGGATCAGGTTTGAGGTCGGTTTGTGTCAGTCTGTGCACTGCATAGTCAGTGGAGACGGTGAGGTGGTCAAACAGCTTGAATAATCACAGGAGAGAGGAAAACGCCAGCCACAGTGCTGTGACTCACACCTGACCGTAGGGGTGTGTGTGTGTTTAAACACAGGGTGTGTTTCTGAACTCCTTTTAAGGAGGAACATACATACAAACACGCATATACACAAGGCGCTCCCTACCTGTGGTTAGACCTGCCACCCTGCCTGTGGAGCCGTTAGGTTTGTGATCAGTGGCCCTCACCATGAGTCAGGCTCCCTGTTTCCTGACTCCCAGTCCAGCGTCAGGTGCTGCTCTCTGGGGTCTGTGTAGTTTGATAACATTGTGGATAACAACAACTCTCAGGAGTTTAAAGGTTCAGTTGACCTTTCTGTGCTCTGCCTACAAACGTGTTCTGTCATAGCAGTTTTTGCCACGTTTGACAGACTATAGAGAATGTAGGCAAAGTTCAGTTTAGCCCAATTGACCATTTACAAAATTATGATTGAGACTCTTCTCAACCAAATCAGTCATGTTTAATTGTTCATTGCTTCATAAAGCAAAGGAAGAGCTCAGAGCAAACCTGCAGTGAGAAAGGCAGTGGCAGTAAATTCGTCAGAATTATTATGGTAAGAAATGGTGGAAAGGTGTTACCCAGGAATATATACTGCTGTGTTTGTATTGTGTTTCTGAGCTGAAAAAGTTTGGATTAAACTATATGGAAAACCTCAAGTAGCTTAGTGTTAAAATGTATGCTGATTCTAAAGTAAGTTAAAGGTTATCTGGGTTACTGTATTTGGTAGAAATCATTTTAATACAGTTTTAAGATGAATAATGTTATAGAAAAAAAGATGGAGATTAGTTTGGCTCATGTTGTGATTAAAACATTGTGTGCATATAAATATTAACATGCTCATTCACATGCCAATATTTGAATTGTTCCACTAAAGTTTGCTAAAGGATTTAGTTTAAAAGATGACAGACATCAGCATCTAACCTTCCTCTGACCAGCTCCAGTGCTAGCTTTAGCATTAGCTCATCTGAAGGACTAGCTTCCTTCACTAAATCCTTTTTGTCTTGCGATGGGCCAAAGTGTAATGTTTTTATGACAGCCTACTACAGTGTTGCCTTAACAAGTTTTAAGTGGGGGCATTAATAATACAGAGTTTGTGAACCACCTGTAGATGAGACCATTTAGAATCAGAAGCAAGCAAACACCCATGTGCTGTGTATATGACAGTGCAGCCACATCTGACTGTCAGTCTGACACATTATAAATACAGGCCTGGACAATTCAAATCAGTCACAATACTGGTTACACCAATCGCAGTTAGATATTATGCCCAAGTGGTTCAGCCCTAGGTGGGGTTAGGGTATCATGCATCCTTATGGGCCAACTTTGGCCTGAGGGCCGGAGTTTGGGGAGCGCTGCTCTACACACTTGTTACCATTTCTCATTTGGTTGAATGGGATTTTTGCCAGTGTTCTTTAAGGCTTGTCCGAGCAGGCAGTGGTTGCTATGAAAGAATGCATACATAGGTGGTGCATAGGTCAATTTCCTATCCCTGCAAGATCTCCCACTGCTATACAAATAAGACTGTGGTAGGCAGAGTGACTTGCACTGATGGGCACTTGTAGTGTTTGGAGATTTGCCCAAGGACTTGTAGTGCATTAGGTGTTACTAAATGACTCTTGGACAAAAACACAGACAAAATTCAAGCTTCGAGCCTCATTATCATGTCTATTTAAGATTACTTAACAACTCAACGTGGTTTGAGACAAGGGTGTGATGCATTTCTTTGACATGATACTAATTGGTGGAGTAAGGTCTTCCATTATGTGTTAGCTACATTAGCCTTGTGCTACACTAAAGAAGCAAACATGGATCACTAAACATGATGATTATATTTGGCAGAAGAGGAAAACTGCGCAAAATGTGCATGAGAACCATACCTAAATGTGAATGCAAATCCAGATCTCTCCGGGTTTCCCCAGGTTTCTCAGCTCCAGGCTGTGTTCTAGCACAGATCCAAAAGCTACAGGGGGTGGAGGGTGGCTTCTCCTTCACCTGGATAAAACCCTGAACCTAAGCCACCTGGTGCTCGCCAGGCTCAGCCGTTCTCCGCTGGAGCAGGAGGGGGAGCGAAAATCACCTTACGCCAGCCAAGTCCTGCAAGTTGTTGGCAGCTCTTGGCAAAGCGAGGGATTGTGAAGGGAGGGGTGTGTGGATAAACAGTACCTGTTGCTGTGCACAGGGCAGGGTATGACTTGTCGAGAGTCCTCAGCCGAAACAGCACTTGAGAGGGGAGTGTCTCCACACCTCTGTCAAAGAGTCAACCGTGGGGAAGTTTGCCTGTTTGGGTTTGACTGCCATGCTAAAGTATCCCACAGTGGAAACTAGTAGGTGTGGTCCTGACTTTGTGCATGCCAGTCCTGTGAGGTTATATGCATTGATGACATGGAAAGAGCTGCAGGGCATCAAACATGAGAGACCTCTTCTGTTTTAAACTTCTCTCCATATTAAGGGTGTAATGAACCAGGGAATTTTAGATCCGATTTGTTGATTTTAGTCACAGTCGTTTTGGTTTTTCTAGACAAACTAC